AGTATAAGGGAAAACAAAAGGAAACAAGAGGATCGAAAGTAACAATAGACTAATCAAACGAGAAGCGTTCGTTCATGCCAAGGGGATTAAGCGTGCCCAAGGTGTGAATTAGCCTCATTTCTTTAGTTTTGCGGCAATCGTTACCGCCTTTAATTAGGGATAAGCCGAATACAACAAAATCAGAAATGGAATGGTCGGTAGAATTAAAATGACGGGAAACTGGTTTGGAAGAGTCGTYTTTCCGAATATCATTGAGGTGATCCCTCATACGGTCACCTAAACGACGACCAGTTTCTCCGATGTAAAGCTGGTTGCAGTTAAAACACTGAATACAATAAATAACATTGAATGAGGTGCAATCAAAGTGATCAGTAATGTTAACAGTTGATTTAGGACCTGTGACAGACGTGCGGAGAGCAATAAAAGGACATGTATTACAGCGTTTGCGAGAACAACGAAAAGTACCAGGTTCTTTATCGGATGGAAGAATTCCATCCAGAAGAATGGTCAGTCCTTCAAAGTCTACGCAATCGTAGAGACATCGTCATTAAGCCCGCCGACAAAGGTGGTGCCGTAGTCGTTTGGCGCACTGATCTTTACAAAGAAGAGGCTTTTCGTCAACTATCTAACACTCAGTTTTATTGTGAAGTCGACAAGGACCTCACACCCAACAATCAATCTCTGGTCAAAGGCACTATCAACTCCTTTATCTCTAACGGCAGCCTTCCTCCTACTGCCGTTAATCTTATTATCACCACTCCTCGAACTTCTAATATTTATTTTTTACCTAAAATTCACAAAGATAACAATCCAGGCCGCCCTATTGTTTCTGCCTGTAATTGTCCCACTGAACTTATATCTAGTTACCTTGACTCTCTTATGCTACCTATTGTTAAGACTCTTCCCACCTACATCAAAGACACCAATCATGCCCTTCGAATCTTCAACGATTTYAACTTTCAATCCGAATCCAAGTTTTTATTTACTATGGATGTTAAGTCTCTTTACACTGTTATTCCTAATGACGAAGGACTTCTCGCTCTGAAACATTTTTTTGATCGCCGTACTGTTTTAGAACCTAGTACAGCCACTTTGTTACGCTTAGCCGAACTCGTTCTCACTCTTAACTGTTTTTCTTTTGACAATCGTTATTTTAAACAAATTAACGGCGTGGCTATGGGCACTAAAATGGGTCCTAGTTACGCTAATTTATTTGTGGGTTTTGTTGAAGAGCAAATTTTTGAACAATATTCTGGACCTAAACCTGAACTTTTTGGTCGGTATATCGACGATTATATTGGTGCTACTTCTTGCAGCAAACCTGATCTAGACGCTTTTATCTCTTTTGTTAACTCTTTTCACCCTTCACTTGACTTCACTTGGGAAATCAGTGAAACCTCCGTATCTTTTCTGGATATMTTTGTCACTATCACTGATAATCATCTCAGTACCAGCGTTCATTACAAACCCACTGATTCTCACTCTTATCTATYATACTCTTCATCGCATCCCAAGCATACTCTCGATTCTATACCTTTCTCTCAGTTTTTACGTCTACGACGTCTCTGCAGTGACGACATTGATTTTTCTAACAAATGCAGTGAAATGTGTTCTTTTTTGATCAATCGAAAGTACCCGGTTTCTATCATCGACCGTGCTCTTCAAAAGGCATCATCTATCGATCGAACTACTGCTCTCACTCCCAATTCTCGCTCTGTTAATAATCGCATTCCTTTTGTCACTACTTTTCACCCTATCAACAATTCTATTAAACCTATTATTACCCGCAACTTTAATATACTTGACGCAGACCCTACTATGCCTAATGTTTTCAGTGAACGCTCTCTTTTCTCTTTTAAAAGAGATCGTAACCTTCGTGCTTTCTTGGTTAAAGGAATTCTTCCATCCGATAAAGAACCTGGTACTTTTCGTTGTTCTCGCAAACGCTGTAATACATGTCCTTTTATTGCTCTTCGCACGTCTGTCACAGGTCCTAAATCAACTGTTAACATTACTGATCACTTTGATTGCACCTCATTCAATGTTATTTATTGTATTCAGTGTTTTAACTGCAACCAGCTTTACATCGGAGAAACTGGTCGTCGTTTAGGTGACCGTAT